GCTAGCCTTGTAGCAAGCCCTCTGCCTTTCCCAATCACCTATTCCACTTCCCGCAGTGTTAGTGTAAGTAGTGCCCCTTGGGCACGGTTCCACAACCTTCTTCATGGATTCCTAAATCCGAGATGTTTATGTCTCTCCTATCAGCTTTCACCAGTAGCCTATGCAATTCTCCTGTATATTTCCAGCTGTTTCTAGACATCTTATCATGCCTATTACAATGTCAAGATTTTATAATGGCTATGTTGCCTTATTTGGGGAATAATGGCAAGAAAGGTCTGTACATCTTTGCTACAGATGCAGTCTTCTTGGATCCAGGGTCGGTTCGGTCAGTGAGTGTGAAGGCTAAGGGTACAGAGGGCCAAGTGTGTTTGAAAAGTTCAGACTTCCAAGTTGCTAGGAACAGAAACCTACTCAAGGTAATGTCGGCAGAAATAATGACCGGACCCGGCATGGTAGCCTAGTGGCTAAAGTCCTTGCCTTGCACGCACCAACCTCCCATATGGGCGCCGGTTCTAATCCTGGCAGCTGCACTCCCCATCCAGCTCCCTGCTTGTGGCCTGGGAAAGCAGTCAAGGATGGCCCAAAGCCTTGGGACCCTGCACCCACATGGGAGACCCAGAAGAGCTCCTGGCTCCTGGCTTCGGATTGGCTCAGCTCTGGCCATTGTGGCCACTTGGGGAGTGAATCATCAGACAGAAGATCCTCCTCTCTGTTTACCTGATTTTCAAATAAAAATAAATAAATCTTTAAAGAAAAAAAATGACTGATCATGGAAGCACACAAGAACCTCACAGACCCAAGGATGGAGACTGCGCTGGGTCTCCCGGGGGCCTAGGATGTAGGGGGTAGCAGGGAGGGAGAAAGTCAGCAGTGAAAGACCCTGAGTGTCTGCTGCATTTCCTCCTCCTGCCCTCCCCAAGGGATCAAGAGCCAGCCCTGCCTCGTCGGTCTCTCCATGGAAGGCAGCTGCCCACCACCCCAGCAGCCTGTGCTGTCTCAATTTCAGCACTTAACTGTCTAGGTGCCTCCCAAGGGCTTGACGAAGGTGCATTCCTGTTGACCCAGCAATCCGACTTCCAGGGGCTGAATCTTGAGAATGTCACGTGGGAGATGCATTAAGCACCAGGTCTCTGTATGTTCATCCTGTAGCCCTTCATCACGGAGCGCAGGTGGAACCCCTCGAGTGGTCAGCAGCAGCCCGTTATTCTGTGATGGATGGTGTCTGATGATGATAAACTGAGATCATCTTCTTCAAGATGGTTCAGACTCATCAGCTGAAATGAGCAGTAAATTAAAAAGCAAGGCACCATCTGCCTGTTGGAAGTGCACGTGTTCGAGTCCACTTTCTCTCGCCAATGGCTGGGGACTGGGGTATTCCTGAAGGAGAGGAGTTACTTGGTTCACGGTGCTAGAGAGGTGAAGGCCACCGTTGGATGGCTGAATCCCATCCAGGGCCTCGTGTTTCTCATAGCAAGGTAGGGAAGTGAAGGGTCCGTGGGCCCCTGTAGAGGGGGCCAGCCTTTGCTGTGTCACAGCCAGTGGTTGTGGTGACCACGCCAGGCCCAGGAGAGCACAGATAATCACAGGCTTCCCTGATTGCCTTTGCTAGCTATGAAAGGCCCCTGTGCCCAGCACGGCAGTCACAGTTCACCATGAGCGTGGCAAGGACTGACCCTACTCAAGCCACAACAATAATGCCTGTGTACAAAGGGGAGAGGGGATAAAATTCAGATGCAGGCTGGCAGCGTTTGGAATCCATCCCTAGCTTTTTTAAAAAAAGATCTCTTACAGCATAAATGATCGCAGGAAGATGGGATGGCTGAAAGTGGTGGTTTTTTTTTTTTTAATTTTCTCTCTCTTTTTTTTTTTTTCTCCACTCATGGTTGCCTTCTGTGCTGTTTTAATGCTCTTGGAAGCTGCTGCTCACCTCCCCAGTCTGGGCTGAGTCTCCGCTGCCTGTGTGTTCTTGATTTGGGACAAGCCTTCCGCTCCTTGCAGTTACTATGCAACCCTCTTGGTTCTTGGGGAGTAGCTCCCCCCCCTCGCGTGCTCGTTTCTATGTTTCCTGTACTTAAGAACACACTGCACCTGACTCACGATGAATGTCTGTTGGCTGAAGAGAGGCTAAGTCAACAAAGAATTGTCCCGGACGAGTCATCAGCCCCATGCAGATACTGCAGCATTTTGCTTCAGAGCCGTGGAAATAATTCCGGCTTCCCCTTTTCCATTTCCGGCCTTTTATTGACCAGATGGGTAGAAATTGAAGAAATACATAGGAGACAGAACAATTCTCTGTGGCTGTGGTAGATCAGCGTCCACTTTTAGGAAATCCTTGCAGAGAGACCCAATGGAAAGGTTTGAGTTTTTCTTTCTTTTTCTTTTTTTCTCAACGACAGCCTCTCACAGAATTGTGGGGGCAGTTAGGGTCAAGGTGCTTGCAAGGCACACCAGTCCCACCGGGAATCCCTGTGGCTCGCCCACCTCGGCTTCCGGCACCCTCCCCTCTGGTCTTTTTTTCTGTGACTTCCTTGTTACACAGCTTTGTCTGTGTCACATAAATGACATTGTGCTGTAGGTCGCTGGTTTGGGATGCTTTTTGCTTTTCGCTTTTTTGTACTGTCTTCACTGTGGTGTCCTCCTCCACAGTGGGAGGGCAGTAGCCTTGGTTTGGTTATGGAACTAAGACCACCAGAGATTCCACAGTCACCTGTAGTACTTTTTTTTTTTTCTAAGATTTATTTATTTTTATTGCAAAGTCAGATATACAGAGAGGAGGAGAGACAGAGAGGAAGATCTTCTGTCCGATGATTCACTCCCCAAGCGGCCACAATGGCCAGAGCTACACCGATCTGAAGCCCAGAGCCTCTTCTGGGCCTCCCACGCGGATGCAGGGTCCCAAGGCTTTGGATCATCCTTGACTGCTTTCCCAGGTCACAAGCAGGAAGCTGGATGGCAAATGGGGCTGCCGGGATTAGAACTGGCACCCATATGGGATCCTGGTGTGTTTAAGGCATGGACTTTAGCTGCTAGGCCACCATGCAGGGCCCCAGTTGAAGTACTTGTAATACTCCAGAGGGCATCTGCTCTTGCCAATGACAGCCCCAAATTTATCTTGTCATCTGCTTTTATAGGGTGCAGGAGCAAGCAAGCAGAGGGATAGAGGAGCGAAGACTCAGCTGTTAACCTCAGGCTGTCAAAACTTTATGACACAGTTCCGGCACTTTTCTGTTTAGTCAACATTTTATCCTAGCATCCAGCAGGACTGGCTTCTCCCTCTTGACTCAGAACAAACTGATCTCCCCATGTCCACCGTGCCGGCTGTCCCGTATGTGATCTACAAGCCCTTTTTTCAGTGAGCCCTTCAAGCAAGCCTGCTTTTCTCCTTCAGTGGAACCGTTCGTCCACTGAAAGACGTTTGGGCTGTTCTCAGTATGGATCTGACGGTGAACAAGGCCGTTGCTCACATCTGAGTGTTTGGGCATGAAACGTGTCGCCGTTTCTTTGGGCCGAGAGCCCCAAGTGCAGCTGCCCGGTTGAGCAGCAATCGCAGGTTCAAGGTCTTCTCCGAAGCGGGTGGCTGGTTGTGCCTCAGACTGTGGCCTGGGCCCTTCCCCTCGGCCCTGGCTGAATCACTGGGGTTTCTGCGTTTTGGCAGCGCTTGGTGTTACTACAGTTTTGGGTTTCAGCATTCTGAAAGGTGTGTGGGTGTGTGGGGCACTTCGTCATGATTTAATTTCATGTTTCTTTCATGGCCAGGGAAGTTGAACCTTGACCCCCGTGCTCGCTTGGTTGTGATGTCTTTGTGTACTTTGCTTATTTTTCACTGCTGAATTTTGAAGGTTCTCTGTAATTGACATGCTGGTGTTTTTTTGTTTTTTGTTTTTTGGTTTTTTTTGTACATGTGGTTTGCAAACTTGTTCCATGGTCTATAGCTTAACTTTCAACTCTCTTCAAACAGTTCCCATGGTTTTGTTTTAGATGATATAAGAGTTACCAAGTTTTACTATAGAGGGTGAGACTGGAGCCATCTCACAAATCTTTGCCTCATCTTAAATTCCAAAGATTTTTCTCATATCTCTTTTCTGAAAATTTTCTAGTTTGCATTTTTTTTTTTTTTTTTGCATTTAGACTTAGGGTTCACTTCATGTAGATTTTCATATTGTATTTATTTCAAAGTTTAATTTTTTGCCAGTAGAAATCTGGTTGTTTCAGCTCCATTTATTTGTTTTTAATTTTCATTGATGAATTTATTTGCAAGGCAATGGGGTGAGGGTTCTGTCTGCTATTTTCATTCCCCAAATGCTTGGGACAGTCACAGCTGGATGAGACCAAAGCTGAGCCAGAAGCTTAATCTAGGTCTCCTACAGGGGGCGACATAAACCCAGTTAGCAGAAACATCACCTGGTGTCTCCCAGGGCCGCCAGAGGAATGGATCGGAAGCTCTCACCATAGCACTGTTATGCGATGGAGCAAGATACCCACGTTGGTGTCTCAGCAGGTGCGCCAGGTGCCTGCCCCTGTCCCACTTTATATTGAAGAAGCTCTCCTAAGAAATCTGTTGAGCATCTGTGTGTGGGTCTGTTCGTGGAGCTGTGTTCTATTACCAATGCCACATTACCTTGATTGCTGTAGTATTGAGATACTTAGCTCTTTATTAGCAACATTTTTCTTTCAGAAGGAGAGAGAGAGAGAGAGATATGCACTAGTTCACCCCCCAAATGCCCACAGTGGTCAGGAGGGCAGGGGACTTGGGCTAGAAGTGACGGTCAGAAACGGCTCAAGTCTCCCCTGTGAGTGGCGGGTACCCTAGATTTTGAGGTGGGGTCTGCACTAGCTGGAAGCAGAGCTGAGAACTGCACCCACATACTGTTGTGTGGGACTCTGGCATCTCCACAGCCAGGACAAACACCTGCGTGCTACTGGGTGGCACGGCTGCTGGGGTTCCCAGGTTGTGGCTGCTGGGTGGTGACGCTCCCTCCCGCCATGTGCCTGCCTTCCAGATCTCTACATGTACGCCGTCCTCGTGTGCTGCGTGGGCATCCTCAGCGTCCTGCTCTTCACCCTTGTCATCCTCTGCCAGTCCGTGTTCAGCAAGAGGAAATCCAGAGGTAAGCACGGACCTGCGTCACGTGGGTCCCAGAGCGCATCCTGGCTGCGGTGGAGGCAGGGAGAGGGGCAGGGGTGACGGCCACCGAGCTGGGCTGGGAATCAGAGATCCCTTCCCGGAGACCTGCCGGTCCAGTGAGGCAGAAGATGAATTTCTGCCGGGTGCTGCTTAGAACAAACCATGACATCATTTAATTTCTCCTTTGTCCACATTCCTCCCTTCTTGGTTTCAGAGGTGTCCTCAGCTTGCCCTCTCCCTGGCCAGACCTGTGCCATGCCCTGAGCGTGGACTTGATTAAGGCTGTGCCCTGTGGGACTGGACCCTTCTGAACTAGGGTTTCTCTGCTTAGACCAGGGCTTGACACCCCGTCTTTGGACAGCTTGTGCTGTGCTGTGATGTCCACCTGCTGCCCCGGCGGACCCCAGAAAGCTTCCCAGCCTGTGTCCTTCTCTGTCCCCTGTCGATGTCTCTGTGTCCCTTGTCCCCAGCTCCTGGAGCTTGCTTTCTTGGGGGTGATAATACTTCTCATCTCATCTTACATATGCTCCCTGCTTCCTCCTGAGTACCCTGTTTTCACAAGCACAGCGGTTCCCAAGCAAATGGGGGTGCTGTCCCTCCTGGAAGTGATCTGACTAGTAAGATCCAGGCTCTGGAATCAGACCACCCCCCTACACACGGCCCCACTAGTTCTGATGGCTGCTCCCCCTTGTTGACTGGCTGTCGACCAGCCCTCTGGGCCTCACTGACCTCGTCCAAAGCTGGCCTCATCCAAGGCATGGGGGAGGCAGTATATGTCTCCTAGCTGGGATGGCTGGGAAGATTTAGACACAGGAAACAGAGATGTTCAAACTCCTTAGCACATTGCGGCCTGCAGATAGGGTCCCCGCACTGGGGATGACATGTGGTTATAATTAGCCAGAGTAACTATTGCTGTTGGCCCAAGGTCCTAACGCTGAGAAAGTGTTCAATTCCAGCAGCGTTGCTTGTGGGGGACCTCAAACAGGGAACTCTGCTTACACAAGGGACTGTCTGCAGAAGTGGGGGTGGTGCAGCAGAGAGGGGGATCCATGGGAAGCTGTCTCCACCCCAGGCCTCAAGAACCGTGGAGGAGGCATTCCCTAGAGAGCACCATGGCTGTGGGATGTGGCCCTTGGAGGAGAGACTCAGGCAGGGACAACCCTGGAGGCAGTGGGGAGGGAGCTGGGGTCATGCATTCTGTTCAGTACAGGTTGTGGCCAACCGGAAGCAGGAGGGAGGAGAACCGGCAGGTGCAGAGGACAGTCGCCAGGGCCCACACAGCGTAGACAAGGGCAGAGGGGATGGGGAGGCTGAGAACAGCCCCAGCTCCTTAGCAGTGGAGGTTGGGCCAAAGTTCCGATCTGCAGCCTGAACTGTGCTGTGTGTCTCCGTGCCAGCCACATCTGGATTTGCTGAGCTCATCAGTACTTCCCCGGGGCCTGCCTCCAGGGCTCCCCGGTGACTTCCGCTCTGAGCCCTTGCTGACTTGTTGCACATGAGCATGGCGCAGGCCCAGGCAGGCCTGTTCCCCGAGAGGATGCTGCGGAAGGCCTGGACGGTGCTGGTGAGTCACTCCGCTTGGAGCTTGGCTCACGGCGGATGCTCAGCAAATGGTAGACATGTGGGGTTGTCTCCCAGCGCTCTGCCTGGGAGCCACGCAGGCAGTTTCCGAGCTGCTTGGGCCCGTGGCCAGTGGAGAGGTTCTGATGGGGACTGGAGGCCCCATGAGGCCCAAGGCAAGGTCAGGGAAAATATACAAGGTCAGAAAGGACAGGCTGGAGCCCACGGAGATATTACAGGGAAGGAGCTCCCAGCTGCTGGGTCCCCCTCCTCTGTGGGCTCCAGGCATCACAACAGCTCCCAGCTATTGAGAGATTTGTCTGAGCAATTGTTATGGCCCAATTGGGCATTACTTGCTACCTCTCCTCCCCATTCAGTGTCAAGTAATTTAGGCTGACAGTCCATGTGACTTGTGTGATAGAGTACACATGTGATGGGACCTTGATTAAAGTCCCAAGCTGGGACTGGTGGGAGGCAGTGTGGGCAGGCTGGGCCCCATCCAATCCCAAGTAGCCCATGTTCTCAGCCCCTGGAGGCCAAGCTTGCCAGAGCCACTTCCCTTTTCCATCCCGAGGCATTTGTGGAATGGCTCTGCCCAGCTCCGACAGTTACAGGCGCCTGGGCTTCGGTTACCACGGGCAGGTCTTATAATCCTTAGCAGGGCAAGTTCTGTCCGACGAAGCCTGGGGAGCCAGCCAGCCTTGCCGTGAAGGCCAAGGATAGAGGACTGTGTGTATAAGGGGAGTGGAGTGTCTGCTCGCCCGCTGAACCAGCGCATTGTCACGACCCACGCCTTCAGGACAGACGGTTCACTGGGTACCTGCTCCAAGCCAGCCTGTGCAATGGGTCCCAAGGACAGAGGACTGTGAACCTACTCCAAGGCAGACTTGAATGCAGACCATCTGGGCCAGGGCTGAGAGCTCCATGTCTCCTCCAACCAGCTCTTGGTGATGCCCCTGCTGCTGCTGCTGCTGAGTGGTCACCTCTGGGGTGGCACAGCCTCGGAGTCTGAAAAGACTGCTAGAACTGCTGTGCTCTGCGAAACAACCCATAGATAAGATTTGTACCCACCAAATCCGTTGAACACTAACAGGTTTGGTGGGAGACATAACATGAAAACAATTGATGACATGATCAGACGTGAGAGTCTCCCCCGTTGCTGGGGTGTCTGGACTCCGTAGAGTCTTTGAGATTGATGTTGAAATCTAGGCTGAAGATGGGAGTGTGTGTGTGCGTGTGTGTGTGTGAAGAGCCATAAACCCAGCTCCCTGAAATGTGTGCCCTGCTAGGAAACAGCAGGTAATGGCTCAAGTGCTTGGGCCCTTGACACCCACATAGGAGACCTGGACTGAGTTCCTGGCTCCTGGCGTTGGCCTAGCTTGGCTTTAGCAAGCAGTTGGCAGGCATCTGGAGAGTGAATTGAATGATAAGTGCTTTTTCCCCCGCGCCCTTCTTCCTTTCCAGTGAGATTATAAAGAAATATTTAAATACCAACACCCTTCTGACTCACATACAGCATATCCTTGCACTCAATGCATTGCTCTCTAACAAACTGATGTCATCTGGATTTAAAGAGGTGATGCAAAGGAATTGTGTGTGCATGCTTGGAAGAGAGCCTGGGCTTTCACAGAATCCTGCTGCCATGGTTTTTAGGTTTCCTGTGTATGCGTGCTTGTTGGGCCCTGCATATCCTGGCCACACATGGGGAAGCTGGCTGTACCCCACCATCCGGCTCACACTCACAGCCAGCAGTGAGCCCAGAGCCTGCTGGTCTGTGCCTGGCAGCAGCAAGTGAGCCCGTATAGGCCCAGAGTGGACCCAGGAAGCCAGACAGCCACTGGCCAGCCACTGCTATCCCCGGCCTTCTGTGGCTCTGCCTTCCCCAGCCAGGGCTGCTCCATGCTCATGTGAGCTTGAGATTATGGTGTCCATGTGTGACTGGCCACGTGAAGTGTGTTCTCTGTGTCCTTGCTGTGTGTCATACCCTGTCCCGGACCCTTCCAACCTGAATCAGGCCTGGGCGCAGGGCTCTCCTAGGGCCTCCTCACACACAGTTGGCCTCTTAGCACATTACTCCAGACTTGCGGCTGTGTGCTGGCTCTAGCACTCGCCCAGTCTCTTCATCTGGGCTTTTAAATGACAGTCTTTCCTTCAAATATTTGTGTTTATTTGAAAGCCAGAGTGACAGGCAGGGAGAGACTTTCCATCCTCTGACTCACTCTCCAGATGCCTGTAGCATCCAAGCCTGGGGCAAGTGGAAGCCACAAACCCAGAACTTCATCTGACTCTTCCATGTGGGTGGCAGGGACCCAAGCATTAGGCTCATCATCCCCATTGTGGCGCATCAAGTTAAGCCACTGTCTGTGGTGCAAGAACCCCATTTGGGTGCTGGGCCCATGTCCCAGATGCTCCACTTCCAATCCAGCTTCTTGCTCATGGGCTGGAAAACAGCAGTCGATGGTCTAAGAGCTTGGGCTCCAACCACCCACATGGGAGACCCTGTTGAGGCCTCTGGCTTCTGGGAGTTCTGGGAGTGAACCAGCAGTTGGAAGATTCCTCTCTCTGCCTCTCTTTCTCTCTCTCTACTTCTCTAACTCTGACTCTTTAAGAAGTAAATAAATACATAAATCTTAAAAAGATTATGAATGAGATACATGCTATACCATGCCACTCCCTTTCTTGGATTTAAGGCTTGGAAATCTGGTGTGAGTTGCCACTTATTTTTTATCTTAAGATTTATTCATTTTTATTGGAAAGGCAGACTTGCAGAGAGCAGGAGAGGCAGAAAGATCTTCCATCTGCTGGTTTGTTCCCCAAGTGGCCGCAACAGCCAGAGCCAAGCTAATCCGAAGCCAGGAGTCAGGAGCTCCTGCCAGGTCTCTGCCATGGGTGCAGGATCCCAAGGCTTTGGGTTGTTCTTGACTGCTTTCCCAGACCATAAACAGGGAGCTGGATTGGAAGTGAGGCAGCCAGGACACAGACCACACCACCAATATGGGTTGCCAGCGGTTGCAATGGGAGGAATAGCCAGTTGAGCTATCACGCCAGCCTGAGTTGCTTCTTTTAACCATTGTCTTTTTGGACCCATCACCTCCCAAGGGATTGATGGTGACCTTGGGTTTCGCAGACAGTGTGGGACAACACACCGGCAACAGACAGGCAGCTCCACATTTCGGACTCTTGGCCAGATGAATGAGGCCATCCAGTGGCTCTTGGTGCCAAGGGAACAAGAAAGGAGACTTGGTTTTCCTGCTCAGTGTCTTGCCTGGGCACTTTGAGGAGGAGACCCCTCCTGGTAACAGCCTTGGCTGGCAGAGCTTGTCCGTGCTGAGCTCCTGAGCCTCATGTGGGAGAGCACCGGGCTGTGTGTAGGAAGGGGCTGGCTGGGAACGGACTGCAGGGCCTCTGGCCATGCTGCGGCCCCGGGAGGCAGCGAGAGCAAGTGACCCATTTGCTCTGCAAATGCTCCAGACTGGCAACATGCACACCCAGTGCTGGGACAGCCCGTGTCCTTGCCATGAGTGCACAAGTCTCTGCATTTGCAGCAGTATTGCCAGGTCCTGCCACGAAGCTGTGCAAGGCATGAGGGGTCAGGGTCGCGGCAAGGTCAGAATGCCTTGGAGGTCCTGCAGCCCCAGGGTGTGGGAAATGGAGGTGCATAGAGATTGCCACCCCAAATCGCCCAACTCGGTGTCTGGCAGTGGTGACTGGGCATGTCCGGAAGGAGGGACACCGCCTCTGTGGGCTGGACATGCCACATCTCTAGGAGCTTAGCTGGGGACTGAGGGCTGGGAGGAAAAAGGGCAGGAGTGGCACAGGCCTTGCATTGTCCTACCAGGAGAGGCGAGGAAGATGGACCTTCCTTTGAGACTCTTCCATGTTCCCTGACAGACCTGGCCGCCTTGTGGGAAACCCACACATTCAGGTGCAAGGTGCTGGTGCTAGGGGGGCTGGCTCCGGTCACCACCTCACTTGGTTTCTTTTCTCGCTTGGTGCTTTCCTAGGGCTGCCTCCCACATCTGCTGCAGGCTCCTGAATGCGTGCCGGTGTGCTTGGCTCCTGGGTGTGGAGGATACCATCTCTGGTTTATTTCCCAGAGCCTGGAGGCCTGGGTTCTTGCCCTGCCAAGGTGGCTCAGGGTCCTGCAAGCTGTCCCTGCACATATCAGGCTATGACATCAGGGCTGTGGGCAGGTGCAGGCAGCAGGGAATCTTCTGTACCCAGTACTGCCTATCCTGTCTGGGCTTTGATCCACCGTGGGAAGCCCCTTCGCATGTCCCTCCTGCCCCTCATTGCCTGGACCACATGTTCCCTAGCACACGTCAGCTCCTGGCCAGCTTTGCAAGGCTCCAGCTTAGGCCTGATCCTTTACCCTGTGGGATTTGGTTTCTCCACCTGCAGGAGCTAGAACTCCAGCTGCCCAGCTGCTGTGTGAGTTTTGTCAGGGGGCTCTGGAATCCCTGAGCTTGAGGCTCCCTATGGTTAGTTGCTAGGGTCGCCATAAAGACACATCACAACAGCGGGCCACAGGAACAACAGCGGAGCCAGGCAACAGAGGCGCCAGGTCCAAGGTCGAGGGTTGGTTTCTTGGGCGGATTCTGACCTTGACCCTGCAGATGCCATTCCCCCCCCCACCCCCGTGTTCCCCATGGTCAAACCTCTGCAGGTGTGTCTGTCCTGATTTCCTCTTATAAAGGACACTGGTATGTGGGATTAGGGCTGCCCTCTTGGCTGCATTCCACCTGCTAATCAAAAGCCCTTACTCCGAATGCAGTCCCATTTTAAGGCTCTGGGGGCTGGGATGTGGACCTAAGGGACTGGGGGGGGGGACACAGGTCACAAGGTAGGAGGTGTGACAAGGTTATTGGGGGAGATGAGAGTGCAAAGTTATGGTGGGACTGAAACATCTTGGCTTGCGCTCTTGCCCGCAATTAAAAACTGTGTGTTCTTGATTGGGTTTTTGGTGGTGGTTATTAGCCACTGAACTTTTCCCCATCCAAATATCAGTTTTTAGAGCTTTTCATTTTGATATCTTAATATCGGTCTCTGTTTTACCTCGAAGTGTCTTGACCTTAATTATTCTTTAAAGCTTCCATGAGTGGGGCTGGTGTCACGGCGCACTGGGTTCAGTTGCCGCCTGCGAGTCCCAGCTACTGGATCTCTGACCCAGCTTCCTGTTAGTATTCGTGGAAAAGCAGTGGAAGATGGTCCCTGACTGCCAATCCGAGCATTAGCCTGCATTAACCCTGGCCTGGGTGGCCATTTGGGAAGGGACCCGGCTGAGACAAATCTCTCTCTCTCTCCCCCGGCACTCTGCCTTTCAAATAAATGATGAAATCTATAAACAAAAACAAAACAACTTGATGAGTGAAAAAAAACCACAGACCCTACCAATAAGCGTTAGTGTTAGAAATCCTATGTTGTTCTCTGTTCTCCCGGAACCTCTATCTTCAGTTCACTTCCTCTGCAAAATTTTATTCCCCTTTTAGCACATTTGAAAGTTCCTTATTGATTATTATATTATTCTCTGTAAAATAAGTGTATACAGGTTTAAGTTAATAACTTTTTCATTACCTTGTTCCATGAATCTCTAGGTGTTAACACACTTTTCCAGATTGAATTATCAATCTTGCACAATTAGTGATCCTTTGAAAATGAACATGAGATTAATCAAAGTGAAATAAAGATATCACAGATGCGGATAAATAATTAATAATCAGGAATAAAATGCTATTGAAATGTACTTTAATTGGAATGGATTTTAATTTTTTCTTTAGGTTCCCTTGCCTGTGTTTACTTACAGATACAATTTACCGTCAATTCTATTCCTGTTTGGTTCACGGGCGCTAGACCTAAATACCTCCTTCCACATGAAAAAAAATCAACTGTTCGTATGCCGCATTTTTTGTTTCAGTTGCTTCTGAATGTTCTGTCAGAAGTCACGATAGGATTCACGGTCACAAAGGGCTCCTACTGCTCTTCTAGTTGACCCGCTCACTCCGTGTCATGCTTTTAGTCCCTCTGAGAAGTGAAATGTGGAAACCGCCCCTGCAGGAGATGTGACTTACCAGGGGTGAGAGGTTTGCCTTGGTTTTTACAAATGCAAAGTCGGAAGGGGGAGTGGTAAAAGTCAGGAGTGCCAGGAAAACAGCCACACCAGAGGCCTGTTCCAAAAAAAGTGGGATCTTGGGAGAGAAGAGACGTAGGCTGAGGATGAACCAGTGCTGGGTTCTCAATGCACTGGCTAACACTGACGGCCCTTTCTGAGTACCCAGAGGTCTGCAGAACCCAGACGGAAGACCACTAGCCCTATAGTCATCACTTCGAGCAACGCCAGCGGCCCCTCGGAAGCGTTCACTAGGTGTTGACCATGGTTGTCCCTCCTATCAGTGCTTCTGTAAATGATGGAGTAGGCACTAGAAGCTCAGGAAATGGGCTGAGTATAGGATTCAGAGCAGACTGAACCCAATCAACCTCTCCAGTGGCCTTTGAGACTGAGAGCGCCTCATTCCGGAACTGTCTGGAACCAGCATCGGTTGGTCACCTGTGTTACAGGTCACCCCGGGGATGTGCTGCTGATGGCTATGCCCATGGCCCCAGTGGACCACACCTCCAGGACCCCTCTGTGTTGTGTCACCTTCCATTCTGGTCTGGCAGAAGTCATCTCGGGGGCTCAGGTTGAGCACTTGTTGGACCAAGTGTCTAGACGTTCTCTTTCCTTTCCACTCAGAACCATTGGGTGTTCCTCGAGAAGGCTTTTGTGGTCAACCTTGTCTCACTGCTGTCTGAGACTGCTAGCTTTACAAAGAGAAAGGGTTTCTTTAGCTCACAGCTTTGGGAGTTCGTGTCTAAGCCCGGGCCTCCACATTGGGCCTGCCTCTGGTGAAGGTGGCAAATGGAGGGAGTGTGTGCCAGCGTGGGTTGCTGTGGCTCAAATTAGAGCAGAGAGAAGGAGAGATGGGAAGACGGGGCTCCCACAGTTTGCTTTGGAGGGTGCAATTCCAATGACCCCCCAAGCACCTCCAGCTGGGTCTGTGGCACCCTCTTCTCACTTAAGGAGCTTTGGTGCTGGGGGTGACACTGAGTCTCACACCCAAACCAAAGCATCCTTCTTGACAAAGAAGCAGGTCTTTCTCCAAGACCCTCCGCAAGAGCCTCTTTGGGCTCTTCGCTTTAACCAGAACCTGCAAACCCCATTTTACAATGAGCAGCTCCTAAGCAGATCCAGGTTGTCCCAGCTGACCCCAGAGGACTTTCTTTGTAACTCAAGCCAAGCTCAGGGCTAAGAAACCCCACAACTCTATGAATATACAGAGCAGAACCCGACTTAGCACCACCTGCCACTGGGAAGGCTAGGGCTTACAGCTCCATGCCTGTCCAGACTGAGCGCTGATACTGCAGCAAATCCCCAGGGCGTCTGGGCGTTGGCTCCGATGGCCTCCCCCAGAGAACAAGAAGGAACACACAACACAAGCATGTGAGTTAGGAAGGCACGACGCCCCTGCTCACACCTCCCTCGGGTCCTCGGCGCCTTCGTGATCCCTGGCGTAGCTGTGCTTGGATCTCCAGGGGGCATGAATTGACCAAATGCTGTTCTGTTTCTCTTTGCAGGGAGACACTATTTGGTGAAATGCCCTCAGAACAGGTAGGAATATTTTGTTCCTTTTATTATTTTTTTTTCTTACCACGAACTCTTCCTAAGTTTCTTTAGATATTACTTAGAAATGGGGGAAGTTTGTATTTTCGCTTAGAGGTCTGTGTGTTAGTCCACAGATGAGCCTTAAAAATGTGTGTTCTGCATCCACCTGTGTGTTTTCGAATTCTGCTCTCTGGTATCCCCGGGGACAGAGCTCATCCTGCATGTTGGAGGAGGCCTGCTGTGTGTGTGCCTGCAAAGCTGGCTGCCTGCTACGAAGGGGTTCCCAGGGAATCTGAACCCCTTCAGTCACTGCGTGGTAATCCTGTGGGGCCAGGTGTGGGGCGCGTGTCACACCGCGGGTGACCCTCAAGAGCACGCCGAGGGGACGCAGCCAGGGCTGGTCACTTATGCAGAGTGCACTCGCGTTTTTATGGAATTCCCAGGGAAGTTCAACTTGTAGAAACAAGATGGGAGACCAGTGCCTGGGGCTGAGAGTGGGAGTGGAATTAGACAGGCAGGAGGCGATGTTTTGATGACAGAAATTTCTGAACTTACCTTTGATGATTGCATGACGCTATAAGTGTCCTGAGATCTCTCGAGTTACACGCTGTGATGAGTACATTCTGTGGTGTGTGCCATGGGCCTCACTGGGGCAGGTTATATTGGGGTGGTGGCTTGAGCCCCACGTTTTGCCCTTCCTGGGCCTTCTCTTCCAATTGCATGCATTCCGAGCTAGTGCAGGTACAGCAAGGACTGGTGGGCACTAGAATTTGGTCTCTTGTGACCCTGGGATACTCAAGATCAAGGGTGGCTGCAGAATTCCATTCAAATAGTGCTGCCTTTGCTTCTCTACCAGCCATGCCAGGTGCTAGCAGTGGGGGCGGTGGGGTGCCTGAGTTATAGCTCTTCCTGTGGGCAGCTTGCCTTTGAGGAACCCACAGATTAGCAGCTGGGACAACCTGTCTGCTCACTCTGCATCCCAGAACCTGGCTGGGACCCAGCTTCATGACTATAAACCAGGTGGGGAACACCAGGCCAATTTGGCATTCATCTTTCGGGTGGAATCCTTGTTCTGCTCAACTTGGGGGCAGCCCTGATCCCTTGCCCCTGTGCCTGGCTGGTGACCTGGGCAGTTCTGGCCTTCACCCTAGGCCTTTAGCCTGGCTTGTGCCCTGCCTTTTCCTCCAGGGGGAGTTCTGCCTGTGCCTGTCACATTATAATCAGGACCAATGTCCTTTTCTGTCCTCTGGCCACTTCCTCTGTCCTCTGGCCGTGTTCCTTGGCAGAAAGCATTGGGCCTGGCCAGCTGTCAGCAACAGAAACTCACAGGCTGGGAAGGCTCCCTCATGCTGGGACTGCGGTCACGGAGACAGGGTCCCTGTCCGAGGCACAGGACAGGACCTGGAGGCTCTGGGGAACTCTGTGACTTGGCTGAGAGAAGTTCAAGTGGAAGGCACATAGACTCATCACACATGTGTGTTATCCCTGGAGTCGGAAGTTCTGACTGCTGGGAGGGGCAGCTGCGACCTTCAGGATTAGGAAACCTCTCTGTTCCCACGGCCGACAGTTCTGGGGACACAGATGTCCTCGAGCAGGGAGCAGGGTCTGATTGAGCACCTCAGGTGTCCGGGGGATTTTAAATGCTCCCCCGCCAGGCAGAATAGCCCCGGATATGCCCCCAGTGCAAGTGGGAATTGGCTGCCCCGAACTCCAGAAAACCAAGTTTAAAATGAAATCCCTTCAGGTGGGGGCTGGGATACCTGCTCCATAGATTCAGGTGCAGGTCAGGGTGACAAGAGGGAAGATGGGGGAATGGGCAAGACAATCCATCTACCAGGTGTAAGACAATGAATAGTTGGGGGCTGGCATGGTGACATAGCAAGCTAATCCTCCACATGTGGTGCCAGCGTCCCATATGGGCACTGGTTCCAGTCCTGGCTGCTCTGCTTCCGATTCAGCTCCAAGGTAAGCCTGGAAAAGCAGCGGCGGATGGCCCAAGGCGTTGGACTCCTGCACCCGTGTGGGAAGCCAGGAAGAAGCTCCTGGTTTCAGATCAGCCCAGCTCTGGCTGTTGTGGCCATTTGGGGAGCAGATGAGCAGATGGAGGATCTCTCTCTCTCTCTCTCTCTCTCTCTCTCTCTCTCTATCACTCTTTCAAGTCAAATATATGAATCTTAAAATAAAAAAGACAAGGAAGTGCTTGCCAGCAAAAGAAGTTGGAGTAGACACCCTGTTACCTGGGCCTGTAGCACCTGCAGCACTTGGCTGTGGGTTGTGATGCATGCATCTGCTCACCTATGAAGTGTCACGAGGATTCTTCGTTGGATAAATAGCAGGAGCAGGTGTACTGTCATTTGTAAGTTTTGTGTGAACACCATTTAGTCTTTTGTAAACATTTAAAAATGCACCTTGTCAAGGATCGCATGGGATAGAATTATAAGTGATTTGTCCAGGATCTCAGGTGAAGGCAGAAATCTGGTTTCAAAGACACTCTAAAGGTGTGTGCTTCCAGATTAGAGCACTGCTGACTTCGTTTTTATAGCATTGAATCATAGAAGAGCTTTTGTGAAAGCTGGACTCCACTGATTGCAGTCTGGGCTCTCGCCCTGATGGCCGTGCGTCCTTGGCCAGGCTTTCAACCTCTGAGAAATGAAAACAGCAGTAGACCTAGCACATAGCATCAGTGGGGAGATCAGTGAGTCAGTCTGTTGAAGGTGCTTTGAGCTCCCTGCATGTGTTTCTGCCATGATACCATCAGTACTCAGGGAAGAGCTCTTCTGTCCTGGGCTGTTGTGAAGCCCATGGAGCAAAGATGAACTGTCACACAGCCTGTGCCCTTGAGGTCCCCATCTCATGGGAGACCCACAGAAGTACAACAGTGGCAGCTCCCAGGCTATGGACACCCACCCAGCTCTCATTGGCACCAAGAGGACACTCCTGACTCCAACCCAGGGCTCTGTGGTGATAAGGAAAGCCCCCTCGGGGTCCTGTGTGAAGGAGGAGCTAGAGGGCGCAGGTGAATGGAGCTGGGCAGGGCTGGAGAGAACATAGCTCATTGGGCTGGAGGATGAGAGGCTGTGCAGGTGCAGCAGGAAGGCCAGAGAAGGCCTGACACCAAGGTAGCCATCGTTCTATTGATAACAATAACCAGGCTTCGCTTATCTGCTGCATTCTAAGCCCAGGACTAAGCCTGAGATGGCAGAAGCGAGGACCAGTTCCTCATTGTTCATTGCAGGCTGTGTCCTGATACAGCTCACATTTTATGGGACTTAACTCCTAACCCTCATAAAAACCCTGCAAGACCAATCCGTCTACTCCGAGGAAGGATGTGGATAAAACTGTCAGCTCTTAGATAAATGGCCCATCTGCCATCAGGTTTGCACCTTTGGATTCCAGGTTAACAGGGAAAGCAGCTCAGGTGGCCTTGCCCTGGAAGGCACTTGGTGGGCGCATCTGCAAGACTTGCTACAGTGCACGGCCTTGGGACAGCTGTCCTAGGGGGTACCCATGGCCTTGGCTTCCTGCCCTCTGTTGCTGAAGGGTCTCGCATGCATTCATCTACAGCTTCCAGGTGGGTTCATATTCGTTCTTAACCAGGAAACTCTGCCCTCCCTGTTAGTGTTCAACCCTGGACGGAGCACTCGGACCAGGGGTGGACTTTTCAAAGCCAAGGTTCCCCCATCAGCAACTGCAGCCTGGTCCTGAATGGGACGCTGACAACAAACTGCTTGGTTGACCCAAGCAAACTTTATTATCAAAGGTCACGGAGAGGCTGTGAATAGCAGATGCCTGGACAAAGAAATGGCAAAGGAGCAGCCTTTCTCTCTCTCTTTCTCTTAAGATTTTTATTTATTTGTATTGGAAAGGCAGATTTACAGAGAGAAGGAGATAAAGGAAAGACAGAGCGAAAGATCTTCCATCTGCTGGCTCACTCTCCAAATGGCTGCATTGGCTAGAGCTGAGTCAATCTGAAGCCAGGAGCTTCTTTCAGGTCTCCCACGTGGGTGCAGAGGCCCCAAACCTTGAACTCTGCTGCTCTCCTGGACTGAAAGTGGAGCAGCTGGGACATAAACTGACACCCAAATGGGAACGTTATACCTGCGAAGTGAGGTTTCAGCGACTGAGCCCTTGTGCTGGGACCAAAGAACAGGTTTTATTTTGATGCTGTTCAAAATATACAGGCACATAGAGCACAGGGGCAGAAGCAGCAAAGATTCAGCCGTGGGGAACCCCCAAAGGGGTCAGGTACACCTGCTGTGGCTCACCTAGCCTTGCTCCTGAGTCAAGGCTTCAGAGTGGAGACACCATGGCAGTAACAACGGGAAGAATACAAAACAGGACCATCACGGGGGATATCCATGACACACACAATCCTGTGCGCTTGTCATGCATGCCTCATAGTCATTTGCAGGAGGTCACTGAGTGCACCCAGTGAGCCCTGGCATGTGGCCTCATTGCCTTGCAGCTCTCAGCAGCTGGGAAAGCCCTGGAGCAAAGCCTAGGGTGCAGTGTCGGGAAATTTTTCTTGTTTGCTCGAGTTTTCAGCCTTTGCCCATGGCAGTTGGCCCTGGAGAAGGGTTACCTGTATTTGCTAATATATATATATATTTTAAAAGACTTACTTATTTATTATTGGAAAGGCAGATTTACACAGAAGAAGAAGAGACAAAGATTCTATCTGCTGGTTCACTCCCTAAGTGGCCACAATAGCCAGAGTTGAGCCATTTTGAAGCCAGGAAGAAGTGTTGGGTCTCCCATGCAGGTGCAGGGTCCCAAGGCTTTGGGCCGTCCTCTACTGCTTTCCCAGGCCACAAGCAGGGAGCTGGATGGGAAGTAAAGCATCCAGACACCCACGTTGGATCCCAGCATGTGCAAGGCAAAGCCATTGAGCCATCATGCCGTGCCTTATATTTGCTAATATTCTTACATATAGAACTTTAAAGTGATAGCGACCTACCACCCTAACCACAGTGAACAGCACTCTCCCTTTAAGAGCCTACACTTGT